TGTCAATTCCGCTCCTAGGTATGTATACGAGAGAAGTGAAACCATATGTTCGTGTAAAAACTTGCACCTGAATATTCATAGCAGCATTATTCATAATAGCCAAATAGTGGAACCAACCCAATTGTCCATCAATTGATAAATGGAAAAATAAAATGTGGTATATTCATACAATGGAATATTATTCAGACATAAAAAGAAATGGAGTATTGATACATGGCACGCTATATTGTGCTAAGTGGAAGTCAGACACGGAAGGCCAAATATTGTATGATTCCAAATCCATAGAGACAGAAAGTAGTTTAGTGGTTGCCAATGATTGGAGGAGGGAGGAATTGGGAGTAACTGATAATAGGTTCAGGGTTTCTTTTTGGAGTAGTGAAAATGATCTAGAATTAGATAGTGGCAATAATCATACAACCTTGTGAAGATAGTAAAAACCACTGAAATATGTACTTTAAATAGGTGAGTTTTGTCATATGTGAATTATCTCAATTAAAAGAACACTTTTTATAAAAGTCCTTGATGGTGGGATAATACAGAATATGAGACATTAGAATGACTGAAATAGAATGCTGTGAAATCATTGAAAGATATGAAAGATTTTCTATTGTAAAATAAAAAATCTGACCATTTCTATAGTTGCTTAAAGATAAACAATCCTTTTTTTGTTTGGTGACTAAAAAAGAAAATGTTTGCTGAACCAAAGCCATAGTTAGTTCATGAAGAACAAGTCAAAAACCATGAAAATATACTGTTCTAATTTTTAACTATTACTATTATAGTTACTGTACACTGAAATTCATTCAGTAGATTAAAAAAATCTGTACAGGCAATCAATATTAATGAAATATCTAAAGCAAATTCATAGCCTGAAGAGATTTATGTGATCTTTCTCTATTGCACATCTAATAGTTTCCAGCTTTAACAAATTGCATAGCTCTAGACCTATAGCCTTTCTGTTGTAGTTATGTGGAAAGTTGCCAAAAAATGTTTCCTGCTAAAATAGCTTTATCCTTTGTCATTTTACTGGTAAGATTCATATAACATTTGACAAATTTGCATAATAAATTTGTAAGATTAAAAGATTTAATATATATATTTAAATATCACTGTTTGTTAAGTTAAATAAATTATGACCCACAGTTGAAGTATGAAGATAAAGCCCATAAAGCCTTTATGTTTGCTTGGCTGTAGCTGAGAGTTAGGAATAGAGACCATAAGGGGGGTTGGGGGCGGGGAGAGAACCTTTACATACTTCATCACTTGTAAAATCCTAACAAACACAGACAGCCACAAATTCCAGAGCTCTCCCAGTTCATATAACACTAGTGTTATTTAAGTGGGATATTATCCTGTTTGATAACAGCCTGCTTAAAATGTCTATCCACAAACAATAATGTAAGGTGATACTTAGCTGTATATTTTAATAGAGTTGAACTGTCAACTGGCTGTGACATCAAGTTGGGGGGGAAATAGGTAAATTTCTACCTATAAATAAAAATGATTTTAAATTATATACACATTATATATTTGTATATATGTGTACATATATATTTAACAGTTTTATTGAGGTATATTTCACATATAACAAGATCACCATGTAAGTATAGTATATATAGTTCAATGATTTTTAGTAATTTATACAGTTGTGTAACCATCACCACAAAAAGTTCCCTTGTTCCTGTTTGCAATCAATCCCCACACCCACCGCCAGTCCCAGGGAACCACTGATCTGCTTTTTTGTTTCTACATTTTCACCTGTTCTAGAAATTGCATATAATAGAATCATACAATATGTTGTGTCTGATTTCCTTTATTTGAGGCTCATCTATATTGTTGTATGTATTTATATTTTGTTCCTTTTCAATGCTAAGAAGTGTTCCATTTTATGGATATATCACAATTCATTTATTTATTCACCTGTGTGGATTATTTCAAATTTTTGGATCTTGTGAACAATACTGCTATGAACAATTGCATACAAGTCTTTGTATAAAAATATGTGTTCATTGCTCTTGTGTAGATACCTAGGAATGAAATGATAAGTCATACAGTAAGTACATATGTTTAGCTGCAAAACTGTTTTCCAAAGTAGTCATGCTATTTTACATGTACAGCAGCAATGTATGAAGTTTCTCCACATTCCTGCCAACAGCTAGTATTGCCAGTCTTTGATAATATGGGCATTCTAGTGGGTATCAAGTATATCATACTGTGGTTTTAATTTGTATTTCTCGATGGTCAATAATGCCGAGTATCTTTAATGTGCCTATTAGCTATTCATGTGTTTTCTTCAGTAAAATGACTATTTATATCATTTGCCAAAAATATTTTTTTAAATATATTTTTATTGATTTTCAGAGAAGAAAGGAAAGAGGGAGAGAGAGAAACATCAGCGATGAGAGAGAATCACTGATCGGCTGCCTCCGCATGCCCCCTACTGGGAATTAAGCCTGCAACCCAGGCATGTGCCCTTGATCAGAATTGAACCCAGGAGCCTTCAGTCCACAGGCCAATGCTCTATGCACTGAGCCAAACTGGCTAAGGCCCAGAAAAATTTTTTAATACTGCTTGTATCAGCCAAGGAAATGCTCCAAAACACAATTGAGATCTGTTGCACTGGGGAACTTATTTTCTACCCCCATTATTGACTCCTGGCTTCCATCAGCCAAGCTTACCTTGGCATGGTTTGGATTCAAGAGCTAATTAATTCTGTGCTGGTAGCAAAGAGTTCATATTGAGATGATTTTTAAAAATACTTTTTTATTGATTTCAGAGAGGAAGAGAGGCAGAGAGAAACATCAATGATGAGAGAGAATCATTGATTGGCTGTCTCCTGCATGCCTCACATTGGGGATTGAGCCCGCAACCCGGACGTGGACCCGGAGGGGGAATCAAACCACTGTGACCTCCTAGTTCATAGGTCAACACTCAACCACTGAGCCACGCCAGCTGGGCTTGAGATGATTTTTAATACCCAGCAGATTATTTTTCTTAATGATGTATCTCTTATATTGCATGTTACTTTTGGTATCAGCTTTATTCTTTGCCCAGTATACTGGTATGATAGTTTTGCTGATGTTTCATTGTTTATTGGTAAACATAACTTCATTAAGAGTTTTTGGAAAACGTGTCAAACTCAAATGAATAAGTCTTCTTCATAACCCATTTGGAATTATTCTTAATAAAGTGCTAATATATGTAAAAAATATTTTGAACTAAATTATGCAAAAATATTACATAGTAAGCAGTTAAACTGTGCTTTGAAAGAGGTTTACAGACTTAAATAAAATATATTAGTAACAACAAATGCTGACTATTAATGAATTAAAAATAATAAAATAGGGCCAAAGAAAGTTGAAGGAGGTCATAAAGAGTAGAAATGAATGAGCCAGAAACAAATAGTAGAGAGAAACAACAAAGCCAGAGCTCAGTTCTTCGCTCCTAATAAAATGGATAGATCCCTGGAGAATCTGATCGAGGAAAAAAATAGGTAACTAGTGTTAAGAGTAAAAGTGGATATTATAACTAATCCCACAAATATTAACAAGGTAATAAAAGGGTTTTATGAAAATTCATGCCAATGAATTTAAAAATTTTGATGAGGTAAATTTCTAGAAAAATACAACTCACCAAAACCAACACAAAAAAGAAACAAGAAATTTAAATAGTTATAGAATGGTTGAAGAAACTGAATTTGTAATTAAACTATTAAATTAAATAAATAAAATTTATAATAAAAATCCTTCTCAATCAAGTGGTTTTATCAGCTAATTCTACCAGTTGTTTAAGGCAGAAATAATTTTAATTTTACATGAATTATTCCACAGGATAAAAAGAAGAGGGACCATTCCTTGTTTTATACAGCCAACAACAACAACAACAAAAAGTATAAACCAAAAATATAAGAAAAGAAGGAAATGAACACAACTGAAGTCAGAATAATGGGTAGCGTTAGGTAAGAGCGAAGGAGTAATTTGGAAGGGCAGTCAGGTAGGCTTCTGGGGCCTGGCAGTGTTGTTTCTTAACGTAAGTGGTAGTTTCCACTAATTTGCTTTATAACAAATCAATAAGATGCACATTTCTGTGCATAAACTTTGCTGTATGTGTATTATAATTCATAATAAAAATTTTATTTAAATGTATGGGACCAATATCAGTTAGTAAGAGAATGATATAAATATTTGACGACTCTCATTCTTAGATTTCAGTAGTTTTCTTGACTCTATCTTTACTCACTCTAACAGATTTACAACTTTCATTTCTTGGAGATAATTTTTTAGAGATTAATCTCTTTAATGTTTATTAGCCTCCAAATTCTATCAACATACATTATACTGAAATAAATCATTATAATTCACATTTTCTCATAAATACATCTATTGAATATTCTATACTGCCTAACATGGGACATTGTTTTTAAAACCCAAAATTTAAGTATGGGTGATAGCACACAGAGATTAACCAATAATCTGTATGTCTACAAGGTGCATATTATAAAGACAAATGAGATGGGACCAAATAAACATCAACTCAGCAGTTTTTCTGGGGACTTGTACAATCTATTTCCTATCATTGATCACTTTAATCTATTTGTTTTCAGTCTGTCTGTTCAGCCATAGTTCAAAACCCAGGCATCTGTTTAGATGTAAAAAGCTCTCACAGTAATAGGAAATTTGATTTAATGATCTAAAAAATGAATGATCTTTAAGACCAAGCCATTTTACTTCTTTAAAACTATACTAGAAGGAACAGCTAAGTGAATTTCAAATTCTATTTTGACAGCAATTACAAAGCCTATAGTGAACTACTGTTCCTACTCGCCTTTCTAAACAACTTTTAACATCTCCTTTAAGGTGAATAATAAGCATCAAAATATAGTGGACTAAAATAATTCCAACTCAAATTATGGAGACGAAAAACCAAAACTTTGGTCTGTACACTGTCCTGAGTTTGATAAACTTAAATAAAAGTAATATTTTTATCATAAAGTTTCTCACTTTTGGAACATGAGGATTAAATTCCACAGCTCTATGAATTGCTTCCACAGCATTAATTTCCGCTGTGCTTAAACCTCGTCTGGAGGCTGCTTCTGGAGAGAATCTGTAAGAAAACCACAAAATTAAGAAATGAATATTTAAAAAAATATGGATTTAGATCATAATCTAATCAGAGTTTCTGGTGATGATCAAAGACAAAACCAAATAACTACTAAACATCAAATTAAAGCCTTGGTCCAACATATAATAAAGGCAGCATAAGAAATGGAAACCACCGAAGCTGGTTTGGCTCAGTGGATAGAGCGTCGGCCTGGGGACTGGAAGGTCCCAGGTTTGATTCCGGTCAAGGGCATGCACCTGGGTTGCGGACACATCCCCAGTAAGAGATGTGCAGGAGGCAACTGATCGATGTTTCTAACTCTCTATCTCTCTCCCTTCCTCTCTGTAAAAAATCAATAAAATATATTTTAAAAAAAAAGAAAGAAAGAAATGGAAACCTTCAAATTTAGGTAACGAAAGACTTCAGAATAAGATCATTTAAGGCACACTTTTATTTTGAGAATAAAATATGAAAGGCTACATGGGGATATCCAGAGAATCTCCCAAAACAGAAGTACATTCTTATCAAATTTTCACGAAAAGGAAACAGACTGTGAATACTCCATTTTAATTCATGTAAATAGTAATCTAGAGTAACCAACCTTTTGGTTGGTTTCTGAATATCTTATTTGTGGAATAAAGTGAAATTCGTTAAAGGCAGCCACAAATGCAAGGAATACAGAACAATTCAGAATTATAATCTCAGAACAGATAGTATGAAATTGTTTCCCCTATCACACATCTTATCATTATCATCATAGCTACTGTGTACTATACTAGTATGTACTCTCTGTCTAGCATTGTTTTAGTCATTTAGCACACGTAATCCTCACAGAACCACCCTACAGTACTATTATCCTTATTTTACAGATGAGGAAGAGACTCAAACTGATTAACTTGCCCAAAGATCCACACCTGGTATATGGTAGACTTGAATATGAGCCCAGGTTTACTTCAGCTCTAAAAAAAGTTTACTTTGCTCTTTCTACTACACATAGTCCGAAGTCTCAGAGTCTCCTAAGATCAAGGTTATTCAGAAGGAAGTAGAGAGGAAAGTGAACATTGCTCGAAGTCAGTGGATGGCAAACATAATACTGAGTTCAGCAGTCTTTCTAAATTATTGTGGTTCCCATAACTACTTACTTATCTGAAACAGTCCTTGTCTTCAACAGTGCTGCTGTATAACAGATTGCTGCTGACTTTGGAAGGCTTATATCTGTAATAATAATTTTCAGTTTAGGTAAGAATTACCAAAAATATCTGAAGACAATTTTTAATAAAAGTAATTCATACGACAAATTCAACAGCTATAATATACTAGTAGTACTAGAAGCATGTGGACATGTAAGTTGGAAGACCTGAGTTCGAATCTTGATTCTACTATTTACTAGCTATGCATCCTTGAACCAGCAATTTTTTATTTTAGTGTTGCTGTCACACTTTAATTCAGAAGTCAGTATAAAAGTTTAATACATGTAGCGAATTGCAGTGAGACAGGAGTAGGTTTTGTTTGTCTATAAGCAACTTCTTTAACCTCAGTTTAGAAAAATGGTACTTTTCTGGAAGAAATTAAATTAACTTATGTCTGTGAAAGCCCTCAGCATAATGGTAAAAAGTACTCGACAAATGTTTATAATAATCTGCTTTCAAAATATACTATTCAGGGGGAAAGGCATAGTATAGCTGAAACTACTATGTAAAAACTCTACCTATTCAGAGAGAAAAACTAAGATTCAAAAAACAATAGAAATATTTAAATCCAGGTAATACAACCATGGGTGATTTTAATTTTTTCTTCTCCCCATGATTTTACATTTTCTACATTTTCTTAAATGATAATTTGCTATAAAATAAAAGATTAATTTGGAACTATAATAAAATTAATTATATAAATATTTCCTAAAGAATGCACAAAATAGAAAAATCAATTGTGATACACTTCATAAACAAAACAAAGGATAAAAAATTCATTTGATAAACAATGAAATAAAATAAAACACAAATTCATTTGATGATATCAACAGATGTAGAAAAAGCATTGAAAAGATTCAACATCTATTTATGATAAAAACTCTCAGCAAAGTGGGGATAAAGGGAACATACCTTCAAACATTAAGGCTATATATGAAAACTACAGCTAACATCATAATAACGAAGCATTGGAAGCTTTTTCTTCCTCTAAGATTGAGAATAAGACAAAGATGTCCACTTTCACTACACGTATCTATAATAATAAAAGCATAATATGCTAATTAGACAGGACGGCCGAACGACCTTTCAGACATCCTTCTGGACGACCTTCTGGATGAAGCCGGGGCTGCAAGGGCCAAGGCAAGCCTCTGTGGCTGTGAGGGCTGGGCCCCTTGCACAAATTTCGTGCATCAGGTCTCTAGTTCAACATAATTCAACATAATATTGGAAGTTCTAGTCACAGCAATCAGACAGAAAGAGAAATAAAAAGAAAATTGGAAAGAAAAATGTAAAAATGTCACTATTTGCAAACGACATGATACCCTAAAGATTCCACCAAAAATACATTAAAACTAATAAATGAAGTCAGTAAAATCTGAGAATACAAAATTAATACTCAGAAATATATTGCATTTTTACACACTAGTAACAAACTATCAGAAAGAGAAATTAAGAACACAACCCTAATTATAATTGCATCAAAAAGAATAAAATACTGCCTGGCCGGTATGGCTCAGTGGTTGAGCATTGACCCATAAACCAGGAGGTCATGATTCGATTCCCGGTTAGAGCACATGCCTGGGTTGTAGGCTTGATCCCCAGTGGGGGCATGTAGAAGGCAGCCGATCGATGATGTTTCTCTCTCATCGATGTTTTTAACTTTCTATCCCTTTCCCTTTCTCTTTCTCTAAAAATCAATAAAAACACATTTTTTAAAAAAAACAGAATAAAATACATAGTAATAAATTTAACCAAAGAGATAAAAGATCTCTGCTATTAAAACTATAAGACATTGATGAAAGAAATTGAAGAAGACACAAATAAATGGAAGGATATACCATGCTCATGGATTGGAAGAATTAATATTGTCAAAATCCATATCACCCAAAGCAATCTATGGATTTAATGCAATCCCTATCAAAATACCAATGGCATTTTTCATAGAACTAGAACAAATAATCCTAAAATTTATGTGGAACCGTACAAAAAACACATAGCCAAAGCAATCTTGAGGAAAAAAAAAAAACAGAGTTGGAGGTATTATGCTACCTAAATTCAAATTATATTACAAAGCTATAATAATCAAAACAGTATGGTCTTGGGTGGCACAAAACAGATCAATGGAGCAGAATAGAGAGCCCAGAAGTAAACCCAAGCTTATATGGTCAAATTAATCTATGACAAAGGAGGCAAGAATATACAATGGGGTAAAGACAATAGTATTGGAAAAACTAGGTAGATACATGCAATAAAATGAAACCAGACTACTTTCTTATACCATATACAAAAATAAACTCAAAATTGATTAAAGACCTAAAACCATAAAACTCCTAGAAGGAAACATAGCCAATAAACTCTTTGACAATGGACTTACCAATATTTTTTTAAATATATCTCTGAGGGCAAAGATAATAAAAGCAAAAGTAGACAAATGAGACTACATCAAACTAAAAGGCTTTTGTACCACAAAGGAAACCATCTACAAAACAAAATAGCAAACTAGTGACTGAGAGATCTTTAAAAAAGATACCTCTGATAAAGGATTAATATCCAAAATATATAAAGAACTCATACAACTCAACATCAAAAAAACAATTCGATTAAAAAATGGGAAGAGGGCTTAAGTAGACATTTCTCCAAAGAAGACATACTGATGGCCAACAAACACATGAAAAGATGCTCAACATCACTAATAATCAGCAAAATGCAAATCAAACCACAATGATATATCACTTCACATCTGTCAGAATGGCTATTACCAAAAAGACAACACAGAATACATGTTGGAGAGAAGGTGGAAAAAAAGAAGCCGAGGGACTGTAAACTGATAGAGCCACTATGGAAAACAGTATGGATGTTCCTCAAAAAATTAAAAATAGAACTACAATATGACCCAGCAATCCAACTTCTGGGTATTTATTCAAAGAAATCCAAAACACTAATTCAAAAAGATATGCACCCCTATGTTCACTGCAGCATTATTTACAAGAGCCAAGATATGGAAGCAACCTAAGTGTCCACTAATAGACAAATGGATAAAGATGTCATACAGAGTAATCTACACTAATAAAAGAGAAATATGCAAATTAGTGTCACTCTCCTATACCCACCAGCCAATCAGGATGAGTATGCAAATTAACCCAACAAAGATAGCAATTAATTTGCATACACAGGCGCTAAGTGAAGACTGAAGACGACTGAAGATGGCAGTGGCCATGGAGCTGGAGCGAGCAGGAGGCCTGGGTTGCTCCCAGCGACGGAGGAAGCCAAGCTTCCAGCCCACCCTGGACTCTGCTCAAGGAGTGGCCCTTGGCGACCCAGGCTTCCAGCCAGCCCTCACCTCCGCTTGAGGAGCTGGACAAAAAAAAAAAGGAGGGCCTGGGAGCAGCCAGAGCAGAGAAGCCAAGCCTCACTGCTGCGGCTGGACCAAAGGCCTGGGTTGGGTGCTGGAGGAAAACCAGTGCTGGCAGCCAGGGGAAGGAAGGCCTATTGTGCGAATCTTTGTGCAATGGGCCACTAGTATACAATAAAATATTATTTGGCCATAAAAAAAGAAAGAAATTTTGCCATTTGCTACAACATGGATGGACCTAGAGTACTATCCTAAGTGAAATAAGGCATAGTGAGAAAGACAAATACTATATGATTTCACTTATATGTGAAATCTAAAAAACAAAGTAAATGAACCAACAAAAACACAGAAATAACCAGATAGATACAGAGAACAAACTAATGGTTGCCAGATGGGAGGGGGTTAGGGAAAATGAGAGGAAAAGGTGAAGGGGATTAACAAGTATCAACTGCCAGTTATAAAATTAGTCTTTGAGATGTAAAGTACAGCATAGGAAATATCCATATATATATATATAAAAGCCAAGCGACCAGAACGACAGAATGACGAGTCGCTATGACGTGCACTGTGACGGCCAACCAGCCCAATCGGCCCCAATCAGCAACCCCGCAATCACCTGCAGCCCCTCCCCCTAGCCGGTCCTGCCCCCGATCCCCCCCAACCCAATTGGGGGCGGGGCCAGCCGACCTACCTCCTGCATCCCCTCACCCCCAGTGGCCCCCACCCATGCATGAATTCGTACACCAGGCCTCTAGTAGTCAATAATATTATAATAATTATATATGAAGTCAGATGGGTACTAGGCTTATCTGCTGATTACCTCATAGGTATATAAATGCCTAATCAATGTTATATACCTGAACTTAATTTAATATTGTATGTCAACTAAAATAAAAAATAATGCCTAAAATAATATTATTAGGAGTAAGGCCACAGAATTCCTTTGAAGTTTTCGATTTTATAGATGTTCCGGCAAATGAAGAACTAAAGAACTAAATTGCTTTTAACTTTACAAGTCTAGAATGGTAAAAACTGGGGACTCATAAAAATAACTGAAAACACAGAAGCATATCTAAGTTGTGAGTTTTATTTTAGATTTAATGAATCAGGTCCTATCTGCTGTTTTATATTTGGTTCCTAAGCTTGTTCATCATAAGCATCATAAGCAGGCCATGCATCTGATCAGTTACATATGGAAAGAATTTCTCATAAATTTCTCCATGAGCCCACAGTATTCTGAAGCACTTCGTAAGAATTCCAGATGTTTAAAAGAAATAAACTTCTCTTTCCAAGTGTAACACATTTCAAACCTGCCAAGTCATAAGGATTCCCAAGCTAATGGGTAGGAACTTACAAATGGACAAGTGTGAATAAAACTAGTATGTCCTCTTAGAGTGAAAGATATGATCAGAAGCATTGTGCTAGTTAGGATATATGCAGCTTGGGTTTAAAAGCTGATGACTCACTCAGAATGAGGAGAAACGCTATGCCTTGTAAAATTCTCCCAACTCCATTTGTGTTAAATTTGCACTGTTATAGTATAACTAAAGGCCCGAAATTCATGCATGGGTAGGGTCCCTTGGCCTGGCTGGCGATCAGAGCCGATCTGTAGGGTGAGGGCGATTGGGGGGCCCCTGCTGGCACTTGCCTTGGCCGGCCTGGCGCCACCCACTAGTCGGCCCCGCCCTCCCACCACCACCGCTGCCAGTCGCCTCTACAGGGGGAGGGGACCCCCTCTGGCACATGTCTTGGCTGGCCTGGGGCCTGAGGGCAGCTCCTGCATTGAGTGTCTGCCCCCTGGTGGTCAGTGTACGTCATAGTGACCAGTCGTTCCACCATTCGGTCGATTTGCATATTAGGCTTTTATTATATAGGATAATAAAAATAGGCATTATATTGACTTCTCACTATTAGAAGACTAGTACAAAGAAATGGAATACCTGGATTTAAGTTCAGGCTTGCCACTTCCTGGCTGGGAGACCTTACCCAATTACTTAATCTTCAACTCCAGTTTTCATTTTACTAACTGGAGATAGTAAAAATTCTTGTCCTACCACATCACAAGATTATTATAAATATCAAATAAGATAAATTATGCTTTGTAACTAAAAAGCATTGTAAAATGTTATTCTGAATTACTCCTATACATACATATTACTAAGCAACTTCTGTTAGCCTTCCCTGACGCTCCCAAACAAATGAGGTACCGTCCTTTGTGCACAGCACCTCATGCTTTTCCAATTATCTCAGCTAACACATCATGTTTCAATATAATTACTATTCATCTGTCTGTTCCACTAAACTGTAAATCGTACGTGAGCTAAGTCCATGTCCTTTTGTTCACTACTGTATGCCAAGTGCCTCACTCATAGTAGGTATTCAGCAAACAAATACTGACAGAAGAAAAGTTCCTCCTTACAGGCCTTTGCTTGCAAAATTCCTGATAAGGAAGATTCTTTTTTAAAAATTATTTATCAAATTTATTGGAGTGACATTGGTTAATAAAATTATATAGGTTTAACGTGTACAATTCTATAACACATCACCAGTATATTGTACTACGTGTTTACCACCCAAAGTCAAATCTCCTTCCATCACCATATATTTGACATCCTTTTTCCTTGGCTACCTCCCCCAACTCCTTTTTCCCTCTGGTAACCACCACACTACTGTCTGCATCTACGATTTTTTTGTGTGTGTTTTTTTGTCTTGTTTGTTCATTTGTTACTTTTTTTTTTTTTTTAAATATACTTCATTGATTTTTTACAGAGAGGAAGGGAGAGGGATAGAGAGTTAGAAACATCGATGAGAGAGAAACATCGATCAGCTGCCTCCTGCACACTCCCCACTGGGGATGTGCCTGCAACCAAGGTACATGCCCTTGACCAGAATTGAACCCGGGACCCTTGAGTCCGCAGGCTGATGCTCCATCCACTGAGCCAAACCGGTTAGGGCCATTTGTTACTTTTACTTTTATATCCCACATGAGTAAAATCATATGGTTCTTGAGTTTTTCTTTCTGACATATTTTACTTAGCATGATATTCCCAAAATCTTTGAAAGACTTTTTAAAGAATTTTGTATTAGTTTCAGGTGTATAGCATAATGGTTAGATAATAACCATATACTTTACAAAGTGTTTCCCCCAATATTTCCAGTACCCATTTGGCACCATGCATAGTTATTACAATTGAAATGACATTTCCTATGCTATACTTTGCATCCCCATGACTATTTTGTGAAGTAGCGCCAATTAGTACTTCTTAATCCCTTCACCTTTTTCACTCAGCAACCATCGATCTATATTCTGTATCTATGAGTTCTGTTTCAATTTTGTTTGTTCATTTATTTTGTTCTTTAGATTCCATATATAAGTGAAATCATAATGTATTTGTCTTTACTGACTGACTTCTCTAAACATAGCATTCTAGGTCCATCTGTACTGTCGCAAATGGTAAGATTTCATTCTTTTTTACAGTCGAGTAATCGTTTATTGTATATATGTACCACAGCTTTTTTTATCTACTCATCTATTAAACGGCACTTGAGATGCTTCCAAATCTTGGCTATTGTAAATAACACAGCAATGACCACAGGGAAGCATATATTTTTTCAAATTAGTGTTCTGGTTTCTTTGGATATACATCCAGAAGTGTAATCGCTGGATCATAAGGCAGTTCCATTTTTTAAAAATATATATTTTATTGATTTAGAGAGAGAGAAAGGGAGAGGGATAGAGAGATAGAAACACTGATAAGAGAGAAACATCATCGATCACCTGCCTCCTGTAGGCCCCCCACAGGGGATGAAGCCTGCAACCTGGGCATGTGCCCTGACCAAGAATGGAACCCGTGGTCTCTTGGCTCCTAGCTCCACACTCACCCGCTGAGCTACACCAGCCGGGCAAGGCAGTTCCATTTTTAATTTTTTGAATAGTCTCCATACTGTTTTCCACAGTGGCTGCACCAATCTGCATTCCCACCAACAGTGCATAAGGGTTCCCTTTTCACCACATCTTTTTTTTTTTTTTTAATATATTTCTTTATTGATTTCAGAGAGAAAGGAAGAGGGAGAGAGAGACAGAAACATCAATGATGAGAGAGAATCATTGACTGGCTGCCTCCTGCACACCCCCCACTGGGGATCGAGCCCACAACCCAGGCAAGTGCCCTTGGCTGGAATTGAACCCGGGACCCTTCAGTCCAAAGGCCGATACTCTATCCACTGAGCCAAACCGGCTAGGGCATCCCCATCTTCACTGACAGGTGTGAGATGGTTCTCATTGTGGTTTTAATTTGAATCACTTAGAAGATTCTTAATAGCAACTTGCACCCATGGATTCTAAATATTGACTGGTAAGAATGATAAAAGAAAATCACAGAAATACTAGAATAGAATCATACTTATGATTACATAATTTTAAAAAATTCTTTAACCATGTGATCAACTAAAACAAGTATCACTCACCATCATATTTTGCTAGGACTGCCTGAACATCTGCATAGGCCTGTAATTCTAAAAGTGATTCTAGGAGATTTTCATGGATGTTCCACATGGTAAGAGGAGGAAATTCTTTCATCAACTATATTGTAAAAGAAAAAAATATTAAAATTACAGCAAAGGAACTCAATGGAGTTGAATCAGATTCACTGATATAAAAATTCTTTTGTTTCTTAACAAAACTGTGGAGACTCTATCCTTAAGCAATAATATCTTTTCATAAAAACTATCAATTAAAAAACAATGATTCTACATTAAAATAACTGGCAACTCAAACCACATTTTTAGTTTTTTGAAGAATATGAAGGTCCAGTTATCAAATTCACTTACATCTCTCATTATTTTTACTGCTTCTCTTATTCTTCCTAATTTTCTTGCACACATTGCCAATCTTCTTTTAATATAAGCCAGTACATTGGTATCTCTCCCTATTTAAAAAAAATGACACAGCTATCATTTTTGTATTATGATTTTCTATTTCATTAACATATCCATTAATTTTATTTACTTACTCTGGCAACTTTAATTAAAATTAAATGTGTCAGAATGGAAAAATATTAATGATTATTGTATTTGGGTGATGAACATTAAATGTGGGTTCATTATACTGCTCTATTTGTGTATATGTTTGAAGGTTTTTATATTAAAAGCATAATATGTATATATTGAATTACTTTCACCTCTACCAATAGGTAACCTGAGAATATAGAAAGTAATCTGTGTATACTTGACAAATGCATGTTAATATTAATATAAAAGAAACACATACAATAGGGAGAAGTAACATTACCCTATTATTTTATGTTTCTGCATAAACAATCTATTATTTTAACATTATTTATTGTTTTAACTGAATAAAATTTTTTTTAAAATATATTTTATTGATTTTTTACAGAGAGGAAGGGAGAGGGATAGAGAGTTAGAAACATCGACTAGAGAGAAACATAGATCAGCTGCCTCCTGCATGCCCCCCACTGGGGATGTGCCAACAACCAAGGTACATGTCCTTGACCGGAATTGAACCTGGGACCCTTGAGTCTGCAGGCTGATGCTCTATCCACTGAGCCAAACCAGTTAGGACTGAATAAAGATTTTAAAGACAAAATTCCCATGGCTAGTGCAAACTTTTGCCCAATAGATAGTAACTAATAAACTATAAAACTACTTATAGAAAGAGCAAACTAACAGTTCTATAACTATCTCAACCATATTTGAGATGATACAAGGACAAACAGCCTAACTTTTATAAATGCAGTTTCATTAGTTCCAGACTGCAAGATCATATATTCTCACAGTTGTGTTTTATAACAAGCATTAATGAAACATACTGTATACATCAATATTTAGTTAGAGAGAAAACGTAAACCAAATTTTAATTTCCACAAATAAAAGATTTAGAACTTAACTGCTAGCAGATAATGCATTATGTAAACATATGTCAATTTATGGCCCACTATCTGCCAAAATCATGAAACTAAAACTCTCTGGACACACAAAAAAAGCAGGAAGCAGCAGTACTACGGATTCTAACATCTTTGGTAAAAGTGTCTCAATCATAATTGGGAGAGCATCTCTGTAAGGAGAAAGAAAGGACCTCAGTTGCTATGGCTCATAAGATCTCAAACACAACAGAGAAAAATCAACCACAGAAAGAATCCATGCCAAGTATGGCTGGTTTTTGTGCTAAAGGGGCCACTCCCTGGCACTATATAGAGATACATATAGTCTGAAGAGCAAACCAATTGATGTCCCCCTAAGATTGCTTGGGGTAAGGTAAGGATAAAGGTAATAGCTGCTTGTCATTACTAGAAGGCTCTCGTGGTTCTAAGTTGTGTTCTCCAATGACCAGCCCAATTCTCACATGAAACAAATTACTATTAAGTCTTAGAGCAGCACATCTCTCAATAACAAGAGCAGATCTGTTTCCTTCCACAAGCATTCTCTAGCCAGTATGTACTTTAGTCTTTCTAAAGATATTATGAATAGATTATCACTTAGGAAAAGTAGCTACCTCTAAGTATTAAGTTTATTATTGTTGTTTTGTGTTTTAAACATAAAAGAGCCAATTGCAGGAAGTAAAAAAACAGGTAAAAATTCGTTCTAATTTGCTTACTCAGTTGGGCTTCATGCTGAGGACTTTGGTGCTGACACTGCTGCGATCGCCTATAAATCGTTTCTCCTGCCTTGAGTGCCTGCTTAAATAACTTTTCAACATCAACAATAGTTGTTGCTTCTTCCTCAGCCAGTAGAATATATGCAGAGGCACAGCTATGGAGAAAGCAAGCAAGACAATTTTAAGTAATACAGTAAAGCAAGTATATCTCTTGGGTATGTCCCTTTGTTCTTTGTTATATTTCCCTGCCTTTCCCTACATTTTCCATCTCTTGAAGAATAAAAACAACTTCCATCAATATTTTAATTTATTAGGGGCATACTGGTATAGTCTTAATTGCACATTTTTTCCTTTCCTATCTTTCTTTCCCTCCCTTTACTTTCTTTTACTTCTGTATTCATTCTGATGTTATCCTGTATTTTCCTTTTGTGGAAGAGGGGAGAAAAGAAGATATATAAAGAATTATCTAACAGTTATTCAAGGGACTATGTACGCTAGTGGTCATGCCTGCTCTTAGTCACTATGTACTTTGTAATATCCATCAAATGGATAACGGAGGTATAGGAAAGTGTGATGTTTGACAAGAATATCACATGGCCAATTAGGCACCTTTCCAATTCGACTCGGAAACATATTCCAGGGCTAGACTTTTTTCACTACGTACACTGATATTTCCTCTGTGTGCTGCCCCATCCTCTCTTGGCCTTATCAACAATGGCACTGCAACATCCCTTTCCTCCTACAGTCCTCCTCTCACCTGTCACACCCGTGCTGACTCCAAGTTTCCCTTTTATTCACCCCACCAAAACACAGATTTCTCTTTATAACCTTTAAGTCAAAAGCTGGCTAATAAAATAACTTGTTTGGGGACAAAAAAAAGAGAAACAGAAAGTTTCCTTTCTATTCCCAGAAATAACTAGTTCATTTCTCTTATAGAGACGTCCTAGTTCTGATTATCTAAGCATAGGTTGTCCAGTATTGTGGTCACTGGCCTCATGTAGTTACTGAGCACTTGAAATGTGTCTAGTGCAAACTGAGATGCACACCAGTCAGTGTATGTCAGTGTTAAACGCACACTGAATTTTGAAGACTTAAAAGAATATAAAATACTTCATTAACAATTTATTTTTAATGTTGAATATATTTTAAAACATATTAATATGTTGAATGTAGCTAAATAAAATGTATTATTCAAGTTAACTGCATATATTTTTTTACTTCTTAAATGTGGCTACCAGAAAATTTAATGTTACATATATGATTTGCATTACAATAGGGGAGAAATTATTAATAAAAGTACAAGGTGAGCACGGAACAAAAGTGATGGCAAGATAGCAACAAAAAATTGGAGACAAGTCCTGCCTGGTATGGCTCATTTGGTTGAGCATCATCCCATGCACCAAGAAGTCATGGGTTTGATTCTAGGTCAGGGCACATGCCCAGGTTGTGGGCTTGATCCCCAGTAAGGGGCATGCAGAAGGCAGCCAATTGATCAATCTATTGATGTTTCTCTCTCTCTCCCTCTCCCTTCCTCTCTCTCTAAAATCAATTAAAACATATTTTTAAAAAATCTTTTTCATTGGGGACAAGACAGATCTTTCATTTGGAAAATGCAAATCATACCATTTCAGCATCCTTCAACTAATACCTTAATTTGAAGCATATAATGATTTCACTAATCAACAGAGACTTTTTCATTACATTGGATTAAATTAATCTGTCTATCCTTATGAATTAATTATTTTAGCTTCATAGTAAGTTTTGAAATCAGGAAGTAAGTCCTCTAACTTTATTCTTCTTTTACAAGACTGTTTTGGCTATTTGAGATCTCTTGCAATTCTAAGTGAATTTTATAATCAGCTTGTCCTTTCTGCAAAAAATAGCAACTGACATTTTGATTGAAATTACATTGAATTTGTAGATCAACTGGGGGAGTACTGCCATCTTAACAATATTAAGTCTTCAATCCATGAACATGGGATGTCTTTCCATTTATTTAGGTCTTCTTTAACTTCTTTCAACAATACTTTTTAGTTTTTAGTGTACAAGTCTTCTACCTCCTTGGTTAAACTTATTCTTTTTTTTTTTTTTTAATTGATTTCAGAGAGGAAGGGAGAGGGAGAGAGAGAGAGAGAAACATCAATGATGAGAATCACTGATCGACTGCCCCCCACTGAGGATTGAGGCTGCAACCCTGACATGTGCGCTGACTGGGAATGGAACCATGACCTCCTGGTTTATAGGTCCATTCTCAACCACCGAGCCACATCAGCTGAGCTAAAGGTCTTAAGTATTTTAATATTTCTTATGCTATTGTAAATGGAATTGTTTTCTTATTTTCCTTTTCAGATAGTTCATTGCTAGTGTATAGAAATACAACTTATTTTTATGTGTTGATCTTGTCTCTTGCAACTTTGTTGATGTCATTTATTAGCTCTGATAATTTGTGTGTGTGTGTGTATATATATTCTTTACAATATCCTGCATGTATTATGTCATCTGTGAATAGTGATAGATCGGTATGCTCAATAGTGTACCAAAGGTTTCTTAGGTTCTGTTCATTTTCTTCATTCCTTTATTTTTATTTCTCCTCAGACTAGGTAATCTTAATTGATCTAAATTCAGTTTCCTGATTTTTTCTGCCTGCTCAAATCTGTTGCTGTATTCATATAGAAAAATTTTTATTTTGGTGATATTTTTCAACTCTAGAATTTCTATTTAGTTCCTTTTACTTATTTCTATCTCTTTCTACCTACTTTTTAATGATGAGACATAATTCTCCTATTTTCCTTTAATTCTTTGTACATGGCTTCCTTTACCTTTTTGAGCATGTTTAAAATAGTTGATTTAGACCCGGCTGGTGTGGCTCAGTCAGTTGAGCATTCCCCTATGCACTGTAAAGATGCCAGTCTGATTGTCAGGGCACATACACAAGTTGTGGTTTAATCTCCAGTTAGGATGTATGTGGAAGGCAATCGATTGGTGTTTCTCACATCAATGTTTCTCTCTCTTTCTACGTCTCTCTCTAAAATCAATTAAAAACACATTTTAAAAAATAAAAGTTTATTTAAAGACTCTGTCTAGAAAGTACAAAGTCTGGGCTTCCTCAAGGACAATTTCTATTCATTTCCTTTCTTTTCTGTGTATGGGGCATATTTTGTTTCTTTTGCATGTCTTGTAATTTGTTCTTGAAAACTGGGAATTTTGAATATTATAATCTGGAAACTCTAAAAATCAGATTTCTTCTCCTCCCCAAAGTTTGTTGTTACTGCTTATTGTAGTTGTTTGTTTAGTGACTTTCTGACTTATTTTGTAAAGTTCGTATTCTCTATCATGTGTGGCCAATATGGTTAAGATGGCAGTACTCCTTCAGCTTACTGGGCAGCCAGTAAATTTGGTAAAGATTGCCCTAAACACTTGGAACCAAAAACAAGTCTTTGCAGGTGGCTTTGTGTGTGTTTGTGTGTGTATGTGTTGGGGCACACCTTCAACATTCAATCAGCCAGTTTATAACTCTGCCTTAGCCTTCACTTTCTGTTTGTACAGAAGCTGAGAATTAGACAAACATGGGAGCTTAGGGTCTTCTTAAGCATGTACCTTGGGCAGGTGTGCAGCCTTTGAGATTTTCAGGAATATGTGGTAGCTTTTCAAAATCTCTATTTCCAAAGTATCTCATTCCCCAGCTTTCCTCCAAAGCTTTGATTTGTCTATTTTTTGCCCCAACTTTTATCCCTTGCCCCAGGCAGCAGGAACTAGTGTATTTGCCTTTAAATGTTTTAACAAGTGCCCCTCCCCCCAATGTAGTTGTGTCAGTACGGGTGAGTTCCAAATTATCCTAAAGAAAGGCAAGTCCCTTGGGCTGGTCCTTCAAATAAACAACCACAATTCTTTGAGAACTAGGTCCATTCTACTTCTTCTGGAAGTAGGAACCTATTACCAGGATTTGGACTGTTGTTTCCACGTGTGCCACTGAACTAGGGAGTAGGGGATGGGGCCAGTGTAATTTAAAACATTACAAAGCTCTCTTACAGAAAGTCAACTGTTGTTTTTTTTTAATTTATGAAGCATTCTCCAAGTTGCTATAAAGTTTTGATTCGTTTCCAGAGTTTCAATAAAGTTGATTTACTGCTTTTGGAATTCCCTATACTACCATTTTTCTTCTGCTTTGGGAAGCTCTTCTTAATAAGGATAATATATCTGGGGAGAGAGGGAAGGAGGAGGAACACAGGGGACAATGCTCATTTCACACTATTCAGGAAGTATACCCTGATTAATCCCGACTGGGGCCATATTTTAGTATTAGATTAATACACATTGATCTGTCTCATTTAAATATTAAGTTGACTTCTGATTTTACATTTTGTCTTTTCAAAATATAAAGTTTATACAAAGAGCTATAAAAAATGCTTGTTAACATGAAAAAAATTAAGTTAGAGCTACATTTTACTTATCTTGAATCCCCATCTCATGCCTCCCATCCCATTAGTAACTAAAGTTCGCAGGGCTGAATGAATGCTTTAAATGAATGATTTAAATGAAAAACAAAATTAAAACAAGTAGCATAGTATTTTAGTACTCTTTAATATCAAGTATTATCACCAATTAGATCAGCACTCTCTATTTTAAAAAGTATTTCTATCATAATTTCTATTCAATGCATAGATAAGTTTACTTTCAGAAGCAAAATACATATCGGTGAACATGACAAATTTTGTCTCTAGTATGCAAAAAGAGAAAGGGGATTGCTAATGACTCCAAGTATCTAAGAAACAGACAAAAGGAAACATTAAATCATTTGCCTGGGTTTCCTTCAAAACAAATTTATTTTCCATATATTTCAAACTTACTCATTGTTTAATTCTAAAGCTTGGTAGGCTGCTTTAATTCGAGATAAAGGATTTCTTTCCCTCCATGCCTTCTGCATAACTGTAGGAAAAATATTTCAAAAAGTAGATGAGATGTAAACATAAATAATCTTATGCAAAACATATGAAGAATGAGCTAGGAGAGTAAACAAAGACTTAAATAACATGTTCTTAAATGTAAGAAACAAGAAATTGGGGTGCTAGCTCACATTAACCTTATGAGAATTTATATTAAATTTGGAAGTTTCACATATAATAAAAAGAAATATACTGTTTTTCTGGTCTATTTTAATAACAACACATAGTTGGTCCGACGGTTGTGGGTTATTGTTAAGCTGATTAACATTGTTAAGCTAATAACAACACATAAGGTACTTAATCAAATTAATCATATCATTATACATGAACATTTACATACTATATGCATATAAAAATTGAGTTTGAGTGACATAATCAATATGAAATATTCTAGCTCTTTATCATTTTGAAAAGGTTCTTTGGAACTGCTAGAAATATATAAAACAGTTAAAAATAAAGTCTTTGCCTAATCAATGATTCAATCTAGGAAGAATGTCTGAATTTACATTTTGTATTCAAAGGGGGGGATTAATTTAGAATATAGTGCATTTAAGGAAAATGTCAGTTTCTACAAAGACTCAACAAAAGCCTGAATTAGAATCTCTCTGAAATAACAATATCAGCTATCATTTACAGTACCAAACGAAAGTTTCACACTAAGTAAAGTTTCTTAAAAATTAAACAAATAAAGTAGATTCATGAAACTATCTGGCCTATTTCAAGGTTGATAAGAAAAATAGAGAATCTATAAATGTTGTTTTTGGAATAAAACCCACAACTGTCCAGAAAGAATAATGTGGAAAATGTGTGAGTTTTCCTTTGGAAACAAAATATTAGTCTTGGCTTAGAAAATAAGACAGTATATTCTACTTGAGTAACAAAAATACATTTCTAATATCAAACATGTCACCAGCTAGCTGACAGCTAATGCTTCCTCAACTTGACAAACTGATGCACATCAGCACCCATCTGATAATAACCAGGTAAATAGCATTTTACTGAAACATTAAAATACAACACAAAATTAAATGTAATATTAGATTTGCCATTTTTGATGGTGGGTTCACTTCTATAAGTTACATGATACAAGTCAAATTTTGTGAATCTTTACCAATATTTTATTTTTAAATTTAAAAATGTATTTATTTAGAAGCATTCAGAATGTCAACAAAACAGCTGCAACTTTTTTGCAATTACAGAATGGTATTCAGTTAACAGAACAAGAATTATTTCATATAAATTGCATCAGAGACAACTGATGATGAAAAAATTACCATCCCCATATATAATTCGTGCTGTGCACCAACAAGAACCTGCTTTAAATTTCCATGGCAATTTACACCTCCATACTGTACCAAGCAAGGTTAGTGGCTACCGAGAATATCACCAGGACAGGACTGTCTAAAAACACATTTGGTAGTGTGTTAACTATACAAAAAAAGGACACAAATCTTACACAGCCTTACATTTCAATTTTTTTCTTCAGAAGGAGTGATTTGTGTATGGGAGGCGGGTTAAATGCTTTAAAGACAAGAAAAGAAAACTACGCTAGAACCAACTTATTTAGCATCATCCTCTTCTTCCTCCTCCTCCGCCTCCTCCTCATCTTCGTTTTCTTGCTTTTTTCTTTTTCAGGCTTAACAACTCCCTTTTTTGCCTCATCAGGCTCTTCTCTAGCTCAATATGCAGTGATACCCTTCTTGTAGTTCTCCTTCAGCTTAGCAGCCTTCCTTTCATAAGGCTGCCTGTCCTCTGCAGCAGTGTGATTTCATATCCCCAGCTTCTTTGCAACATCACCAATGATCAGGCCAGGATGCTCTCCTTTGATTTTGGAGCGATACTCAGAACAAACAAGAAAAAGGCTGAAGGAGGCCTCTTGGGTGCATTGGGGTCCTTGAATTTCCTTTTTATTTCCCCTTTAGAAAGGATATATAAGTTTTCATTTCTCTTTCATAAGAGGCCTTGTCCACCTTTGCCATGTCTTCAAACTTTCCTTTCTCTTCAGCCGACATGGTCTTCCACCTCTCTGAGCACTTCTTAGAAAACTCTAAGAAGTTGACTGAAGTACTTGGGCACTTCCTCCTTGTGCTCTTCCTGGCAGGTTTGCACAAAGAAGGCATACGAAGACATTGTCTCTTGGCTTCTTAGATCTCCTTTGCCCATTTTCAAAAAAAATTTTTTTAATTGATTTAGAGAGAGGGAGAGAAAGAGAGAAAGAGAGAGCGAAGAGAAGGAGGGGGAGAGAAAGGAGAGAGGAAGAGAGAGAGAGATGAGAGAGAAACATCAACTGGCTGCCTCCCACATGCACCCCAACTGGGGATCGAACCCGCAACCAGGCTATGTGTCCTGACTAGGAATCGAACCCCTACCTTTTGGTGTACAGGACAATGCTCCAACCAACTGAGCCACACTGGCCAGGAACTGCCCATGTTTAATTACTTTTCCTCAGGGAGCACACAGTCGCCAAGTGCCCGCACCCGCCCTGACACTGTCTCTATGGAGCTCAATATACTGTGATGGCGCTCTTTACCAACATTTTAAATGGTTTGGTATTCTAATATATTAAGAATATATCTCAACTTATTTAACCAATTCTCTTTTGATGGACAATTAGATTACATCCAATTTTTTGCACCAGGCCTCTAGTTTTTTTACTAAACAGAAATATTGTGAAAACACATTTCAATATCTACCTTTGTATACCTGACCAAGAAGTGGAATGGTTGGTTAAAATGTATGCATCTTTTAAAAGATTCTGAATTTATACTCCAAAATTCCTCTCAATAAAATTGCATTAATTTACATTATTTCAGGCAGTGCAGAAGAGTGATTGCTTCCCTACTTCCTTACCAACACTGAATAATATCAGTCTTTATTAATACATGAAAATGATCTCATTTGCATTTACATGTCTTTTATTTCTAGTAAGGTCATCAAATCCAGCTTTAAGCATTTTTTCTTATTCTTTTGTTTTCAACTGCACTATCCAGCCTCTCAATATTATTCTTCACAACCAATGCAGTTCTAAGTCAAAGGGGAAATAAAGTAAAGGAAGAAAAATATGTATTTCCTTCTAAGAAAAGGTTAAGGAATAATTTAAAGCAAAATGCTGATTTAGTATTCACCTGTCCACTTTAAGAGCTCTCAATATGCTTAAAAATAACACAAGCAGTTAGCAATTCAATCAAATTTATTTATTTTCAATTTAAATAATATTCTAACATGCTAATAAACAGAAAAGACACTAGCATTTATCTCAAGATCAGGAATCACAAATATTAATGCCTACAAAGACTAGGCAAAAAACATAAATGAATGAACTAAAAACATATGCACTGTCTAAAGAAGAATCACAGCTCAGGTCTAATTGATTAATGCCAAGTAGAAATGTAGGTCCAAGTATGCCATATTTTCCAAATTTCTAAAGTGTAAATCTGAATTTTAATGTTGTCTCCTAGTTTTTAAATGTTGAAAAAAAAATACCATGAAAATGAATTATCCAAAATCACTATTGGCTGGCCTTGAGGATATGTTTGTTCTCTGTTTTAGATAAATCAACAGGATGAGAACAAAATCTACTAATGTAGTAATTTCTGATGACAATATTCAAGAGAAATTTATCATATCACACATATACACATTTGTCTGAAAAGATCAATATGGAACCAACAGTCCATTTCTGGATTAGCATTCACAGGTAAAGTCTGTCCTTGATTTTGGTCTTTAGCTGGGATTATGTGTACCTCTAGGAGTACATGAGGACCAAAGTGCAAGAACCAAAACAAGATGCATGGTTTTAAGAGAACCAGTTTCTAAAGCCTTAACTTTATATGATTCTTTCCTATAACTAATCTACCTGAAGAATGTTCCTCTGATTGGTCTACGCATCATGCAGGTTTTCCATTCCTACCCAACATCCGCTTTCTCACTCCCCAAAAGATATATTCCTTTCTCCTACTTTGTAAAAGTAAGTCTTACTTCTCACCTATCCTGAATCGTCCCAAGGTGCATTGCTCTACAGTATAAAAATCTTCAGGTGCCAAAGGGACAATTTAAAGTTCAGGTTTGGGAGTAGCCATTTTTAATCAAGGAACCTATAATAGGGTTTCCACCTTTAACTTATTTTTTTAACAGTGAAGCTCATCATTATTCTGGCCCTTGGATACACTGAATTCAAGTATATAGTAGAGTAGGGAGGGAGTGATAATGTTTACCAGTTCCATTTATCAGCATCCCACTCCCCTTACTATCAAAGAATGCATTCTCCTACAGGAAGGTCCCCTCACAATAAGGCCAAGAGGGCATTAGTAAGAAATAATAAAGGCAGTGGAATCTTATTTTGGCCAAGATAAGGTCTAGGCAAAGCTACAAGACTCTGAGACTCTATCTTTCTATCTTATAATCTGAATTCAGAAGAGAGTGGCTATCATGGGATGCATGTTAATATGTTTATCTGAATTGACAAATGAAGTCAGACTTTGTCAGAAAATAAGTCTGATTTGGTTAGTAGGATTGACAATGAAAACTCAGCCAGCCAATTAGGTTATATGGAGGGCATTTTCCAAAGTTAAAAGAGCCAAATACGGAGCTCCAAGGATTTGACAAAAATATAATTAAAGGACACAATACCATTTAGAGCCTTATGGTCAAAGAAAATTAATTTTTTTATTTATACTAAAAATTTATTGTGGAAAACTCATATATGTGATAAAAGACTCTCAAACACAAAATAATCATATTAAAATCATATAAAGCTTGGGATGGATATAAATTCCAGAACAAAAAGGACATATAAAATCTACTACTGTTAAAGGGTATTTCTTCATGTATTTTTCAACAGATAATGGTATGTATCAAGTCATTACATTCTTGAATTACATTCAAATATAGGGTATTCTAGTTTTGTTTTCAAATTTTTATATTTATAATACGTCAAAAACCATATTCTTTGCAATTACTTAACCTTATGATATCAACTTAAAAATATGTGAAGGGAGCCCTGGCCAGGTGGCCCAGTTCATTGAAGCATCATCCCATACAACTAAAGGTTTTAGGTTTCCAGTCAGGGCACATACCTAGGTTTCAGGTTGGATCCCATGCCCTACAGGAGATAACCGATTGACCTGGATGTTTCTTTCTCTGTCTGTCTCTGTCTTATTCTTCCTCTCTCTAAAAACACCCTTTGGTGGATTTTTCTTTTTTTAAGTGAAAAGGGATACATCGTTTTTCAAAATTCTCTTAGGAGGTATGTAAACAAAAATTTTTTTTGGACGACAGCTTTAGTGGACATCCATGGTTGCTACACTTTTGCCATTAATGTAAACATTAAGCATATAAACATAAAGCAATTGCTTTTTCAACTATTTACAATTAAACCCTTTAATGTAAGAATACCGAATATCCTAGGGTTTCCTGCTACCACTCATCCTTAGTATATTTAATCCAGCAAAGAGATATCACAATGAACTCACTTGAATGCTGGAAAATTGGCTATTTTTCAGACCCTACTTATTGGTGATCTTTTTCTGCCTGTCGATGTGATGAGTAATAGTGGCAATGTGGCAGTAGTTTAGTGGTTAAGAGCCAGACTTGAATTTGAAACCTAGCTTTATCATTTAACTAGAGGCCCGATACACAAAATTCATGCAAGAGTAGGCCTTCGTTTCCCCAGCTGCCGGCACTGGCTTCCCTCCGGCACCCAGGCCTTGGGCTTCCATGGCAGCCTCAGCTTCCTCCGGAAGGACGTCCAGTCTAATTAGCATATTATGCTTTTATTATTATAGACTAGAGGCCCGGTGCACAAAAATTTGTGCACTCAGGGGGGAGGGGGAGTCCCTCAGCCTGGCCTGTGCCCTCTCGCAGTCTGGGACCCCTCAGGGGATGACCACGTGCTGGCTTAGGCCCGCTCCCCGGGGGATTGGGCCTAAACTGGCAATCAGACATCCCTCTGGCAGCCGGGCAGCCCTCAGGGGATGTCCACTTGCCAGTGGGGAGCAGGCCTAAACTGCAGTTGGACATCCTTAGCGCTACTGAGGAGGCAGGAGAGGCTCCCATCACCACAGCTGTACTGGCAGCCATCAGCCTGGCTTGTGGCTGAGCAGAGCTCCTCCCATGTGAGTGCCCTGACCACCAGAGGGCAGCTCCTGCATTGAGCATCTGCCCTCTGGTGGTCAGTGTGTGTCATAGTGACCAGTCATTCCCAGTCCTTCTGCTGTTAGGGTCAGTTTTCATATTACCCTTTTACTATATAGGATAGAGGCCTGGTGCACATGTGCGGGCCGGCTGGTTTGCCCTGAAGGGTGTCCCAGATCAGGGTGGGGGTCCTGCTTAGGTGCCTGGCCAGCCTGGATGAGGGGATGATGGCTGTTTGTAGCTGGTCACACACCCTTCAGGATGGGGGTACCCAATGGGGTGCCTGGCCAGTCTGGGTGAGGGGCTGAGGGCCGTTTTCAGGCTGGCAGGTGACTGAAGCTCCCAACCTCTCCTTTTTTTCTTTTCTTTTCTTTTTTTATTCTGGGATTTATTTACCTTCTATGCCTGTCACTGGAACTGAGAGCCGGCTTTAGCTCTGAGGCTCGGCTCCAGCTCTGAGACCTCGGCTGCTGAAAGCAGGTATCTGGGTTTGTTTGGCTTCTATAATTGAAACACTGTTGCACCTCCAGCTCTGAGGCCCGGCTGGCTGAAAGCAGGTTTCTGGGGTTTATTTAGCTTCTATAATTGCAACATTGTTTCTTAGAGTGCAGCTCAGAGCCCAGCAGTGGCAGGCGGGGAACCTTGGCTTCCTCCATCACTGGAACAAGCAAGCCTCCTGTTCGCTTCAGCTGCCTGGCTGCCGGCCGCCATCTTGGTTGGCAGTTAATTTGCATATCGCCCTGATTAGCTGATGGGAAGCGTGTCAGAGGTACAGTTAATTACCATGTTTGTCTATTATTAGCTAGGATAGCTAGATGACTTAGGCATGTTACTTGATTCCCCTTTACCTCTGGTTCTTTTTTTTTAATTGATTTCAGAGAGTAAGGGAGAGGGGGAGAGAGATAGAAACATCAATGATGAGAGAGAATTATTGATTGGCTGACTCTTGCATGACCCCTACTGGGGATCAAGCCTGCAACCGGGCATGTGCCCTTGATTGGAATCGAACTCAAGACCCTTCAGTCCACAGGCCAACACTCTATCCACTGAGCCAAACCAGCTAGGGCTACCACTGGTTCTTTATTTTTAAAATAAGGCTGATAATAGTACCTACCTCATAAGATGATTAGTACATTTATATAAATTTCTTAGAACAATGCTTGGTGCATAATAAGTGCTTTACCAGTGTTAACTATTATTAGTGAAATTGCTGAAGACATCTGTGACACCAACACCACTCATTTATTCATACTTTCATCAGATAATAAATATTAATACAGTATGCCAGGCACTGTGCCAGACGATAGGAATTCAAAGATGATGGAATACAGTACCTGCTTTCCAAAGTTTCATACCCTATTAGGGAGGACAAACATTAAAGCAACACAAGAACATTAAGAAATAATTGTTTGTGGTTGAAAATTGTTTCATTGAGGTTTGAACTAAGCACTGTAGAACTGCAGAGAAGAAAGAAGATCCCAGAGAAGACTTTCTAGAGAATGTGACTTTTAATTTGGAGCCTGAAGGATAGAAAGAAGCAGAAGGATAGATAAGGAGGAAAAGGGCATTCAAATTAGAAAGCTAGCCATACATTTAAGAGTCTCAGTATTTTTTCTATAGAGAAGAGCTTAGAGAGAATTAAACAGACATTTCTATGATCTTCCACCACTTTAAATGCATCTCTAACTTATAACTGGAATAAAATTATGTCCCATTTTTCTCTACATGCCATGCCCTAATGTTTACACTTTGTCTTACTCTTTTCTCCTATGTATAATTGCAGGTGTTAATTTTCCAGACCAAACTCGGTACATTTTTCTCTGCATAAGCAGTTGCTGCATTTTATCTGAAAGATTTTTTAAAGTAATAATAGAAGCAATATTTTAATAAAATAAATTCTTTATAAGAAGGAAAAGTAGTGTAACAGCTTAGTTTACAATCATAATTAGTTTCAATTTAATCTGGCTTTCTTTTCAATAATGCAAACAACTCCAAGCCAAATAACTTTGTATATTATAATAAATAACTATAAAGAGCTTTAAAAATAACCTTCATGACCACTGCTTATCCCATGAACAGAGATGACACATACCTGTGTCTGAAGGACGTAAAAAGTCTGTGTCACAGGTGAAAAAGGTCTGATGGTCCTGAGCTGACAAATTCATGTCATAGTATGTAAGTGGCTCTTTACCAGTCACCCAAGTGAGTCTTCACCAAAACAAAAGAAAATATGTAAATCAAACATGAGAGAGTATTGATTTGCTATAACAGACACTATTTAAAATTCAAACATATGCTGCTAAAAATTCCATTTCAGGATGCTTTAAAAGCTTATTATAATGAATAAAAGAGATAACCTATAAAAACTACTTAGAGTATAACAGAACATAAAAAATGAAAAGGGAAAGGCTAGATTATTCAACAAACACTTTCAAAATTGGATTTGAAGGGATAAGACAATTTGCCTCAGATATATACCTTTTTAAGTATACTTCAGTACATTTTCAGTGAGTTAGAATGATTAAAAGTAAAAGTACAAAGAAAGAAGAAAACACAGGTTGATTTTTACCAGATATCAAGATGGTAAAGGGCTTTCAAAGCATAAAAGCAAAGAGGAACTTTTCTCAGATGTTACTAAACTAGAAATTTAAACTTTCATATTCCTCTGAGACTCACAATAGCACGTTAACAGATTGGCTAATAAATACATTTTAAAATGTGCAATCTCATTAGACATTAACAAACAGCAAATTAAAAGAAATAATTTTTACTTTCACCTATTAAATTGGCAAATATGTATATATTGTTAAGTAGAATATGGACTCACACATACTGCTGGTATCATGTAAATTGGCATTTATATTTCTGGTTCTAGAAATCAATTAGGCAATATCTATCAAGAATCTTAAAAATATTTACACCTACCTAGGGGATGGGTATACTAGTATATTATATTATACCATCCTCTCTACTTTTGTTTATTTTTCAAATTTTCCATAATCAAAATAAGATTAAAGGGAAGGGGAAAAAACTGTTCACACCCCTTGATTCAGTAATCCCAGTGCTACAAATCAACTCTAAGGAAATAATCATATATGTGGTTAAATATTTATATAGAGAGATATCCCTCTAGTGTAAATGTTAACAGTGAAATCTATGACCCAGATAGGCAAGCAGTAGAGAAGGTATGGTAAATACAAGTACTAAAAATCATGTTTTTGAAGAAATTCTGTGGGAATTTCACACATTGTGATGTTGAAGTTTTGATTCTATACATGCATAAAGAAGAGAGACTGGATGGAAATACTAATAGTAATTATTACTTAGTGGTAAAAAGAGGTGATCTTTACTTTCTTTTTCATACATCTCTTTATTTTCTTCCCAATTCCTACAATGAATATATGTACATTTTATAATCTGAAGAAAAAGCACTTTAAAAGCACATTGTAAATATTACTTATATAAGTACTGAAGATGTTGTTATTTAATAGTATGAGTTGCCTTGTTATTTAACGTTTTTAGCTATTCTGCAAGAAATTATCATAAAGAGAAAAAGGAAAAGAAAATTCTTATTCACTTAACAGTTTTGCTATCCATTCTAAAACCATAAAAAATTATTTATTAACAATCTACATTATTCCCAAAATGATTTAAAGCAGTTAAAAATATTGCCGAAACCGGTTTGGCTCAGTGGATAGAGCGTCGGCCTGTGGACTGAAGGGTCCAGGGTTCGGTTCCGGTCAGGGGCATGTGCCTTGGTTGCGGGCATATCCCCAGTGGGAGATGTGCAGGAGGCAGCTGATCGATGTTTCTCTCTCATCGATGTTTCTAACTCTCTGTCTCTCTCTCTCTTCCTCTCTGTAAAAAATCAATAAAATATATTTTAAAAAAAAATATATATATATATAATGTATAATATACTATATAATAAAAGCCTAATATGCTAAGTGTCCGGTCATCTGGTTGGCCATTCAACCAATTAAAGCGTAATATGCTAAGGCCGCTCAACCGCTATGACATGGATTGACCACCAGGGGGCAGACGCTCCAACCAGTAGGTTAGCTTGCTGCTGGGGTCCAGCTGATCAGGACTGAGCAAGACAGGCCGGAAAGTCCTGGAGACCTCCCGCAGTCCCTCCCCAGCCCTAATCATGCACCGGTGGGGTCCCTTGGCCTGGCCTACACCCTCTCACAATCCAGGACCCCTCAGGGGATGTTGGAGAGCCGGTTTTGGCCCAATCCCGCAGGACAGGTCAAGGGACCCCACTGGTGCATGAATTCGTGCACCGGGCCTCTAGTCCAGTGATGGCGAACCTTTTGAACTCGGCGTGCCAGCATTTTGAAAAACCCTAACTTAACTCTTGTGCCATGTCACATAGAGAAATTTTTTGATATTTGCAACCATAGTAAAACAAAGACTTATATTTTTGATATTTATTTTATATATTTAAATGCCATTTAACAAAGAAAAATCAACCAAAAAAATGAGTTCGCGTGTCACCTCTGACACGCGTGTCATAGGTTCACCATCGCTGCTCTAGTTAATAACATAAACCAGAAGTAAATTAAAAACACTAAGTAAAGTAAAAACTAGGATTGGGCCATAAAATGGAATCTGGAATGAGGCTAACACGAAATATATACACTTGCTAAGGGTTAGCTACAATATGACCACACAATTATTATCATTGCAATTTAGACTATTACATTAAGATAAACTACTCATTCAAAGAAGCATACGTGTTCTTGATACTAAGATAAGAAACTTCTCTTTAAAACCTTCATGAAGTAGACACTGTAAAATATATCAAAGAATAGCCTATGCCGAAACCGGTTTGGCTCAGTGGATAGAGCGTCGGCCTGCGGACTGAAAGGTCCCAGGTTCGATTCCGGTCAAGGGCATGTACCTGGGTTGCAGGCACATCCCCAGTAGGAGATGTGCAGGAGGCGGCTGATCGATATTTCTCTCCCATCAATGTTTCTAACTCTCTATCTCTCTCCCTTCCTCTCTGTAAAAAATCAATAAAATATTTTTTTTAAAAAAGAATAGCCTAAAACCTTTTTTAATAAACACAGTGAGAAGTTCAAGGATCTGTCTCTTGCAGAATCCCTTAATACAGGCTAGTGGCATCTCTCATAAAAGCCTAGTTTTCACTTCCCAGGACTGACTGTCCTACACTATCAAGTCCTTAAGCACAGAGATTATTACTTAATCATTTAGTATCCCCATCATTTTACACAGGGCCCATACATAACAGACACATAATGTTTCTTATTCAATGAATTAAATAACATGCCCAGTCTATCTCCAGGTAAAACATAGCCCTTCTCAAAATAAAAGTAAACTGCCCTAACCGGTTTGGCTCAGTGGATAGAGCGTCGGCCTACAGACTGAAGGGTCCCAGGTTCGATTCCGGTCAAGGGCATGTACCTTAGTTGCAGGCACATCCCCAGTAGGGAGTGTGCAGGAGGCAGCTGATGGATGTTTCTCTCTCATGGATGCTTCTAACTCTCTATCCCTCTCCCTTCCTCTCTGTAAAAAGTCAATAAAGTATATTTTTTAAAAATAAATAAATAAATAAAACTATCTTTGATCATAAGTTTCAAAAAATGTTTTCTCATTTAGTGTATAAACCAGGAGAGAAATGGATACAGTAGAGCACATAGAAAATGGCAATATAAAATACAATATGAAAGTACTACACCCTGGACTGTGGCACAAATGAAATTCATATTCACATTCAGATTGATATTTTCTAGTGACTGCTCAAATAAATTTTGAAATCGAGTACATATGCACAGGAATATACTGACATTTGTAATTTTTTCTTAATCTTACAAATTCTTTGAAAATGCTGTCTGCCATAAACCGGGGTCAAATGTATACTTATTATGCATTATGAACACTATTATAATAAGTACTATCAAGATGCTGCCAACTAAACTGCTAATCATTTTATCTTATTAGTATATATCAGTATCTCCAACTAAAAGGGCTATGATATAGTTATAAAAACAAGTGTTTCCATAATACTTTTACTCTAAAACCAATGCTGTAATTATACTAAAAGCAAAATGTATTACCTCCTATATTCTGCTCCTCTGAAAAGGTTTAGAGGGTTTCTCCATACCTTGCATTCTAAAAAACAAAGGAGAAAAGGGAGGAAGCGAGACAATTTAATCAAATGCTGTTAAACCTTAATTCACCAACATTTATTGTATAGTCACTGTATACTAAGTACAGTGCTAGCCACTGATAGCACAAAGATAAGTAAGGCATGGATCACCCTACTGTCACGGAGCATAAAATTAAATCTAGTTATTCCCTTATTTCTGTCTTCACAGCATTTGGTTCATAATTCAATTATAGCACTTACCATATTATAATGTGATTATCTGTTTGGTTTTAAGTTTCTCCCTTTTATTTCCTTTAAATGTTTTATCGATTTTAGAGAGAGGAAGGGAGAGGGAAAGAAACATAGATGTGAGAGAAACATCGATCTGCTGCCTCCAGCATGCCCCCTACTGGGGATGGAGCCAGCCACACAGGAATGTGCCTTGACCAGGAATCGAACTAGGAATTGAACTGCCGACCTCTCGGTACATAGGGAGGATGCTCAGCCAACTGAGCCACACCGGCCAGGGCCCTTTTATTTTTGTAATTGATTTTTGTTTGAGAGAGTGAGAGAGAGGAAGGGAGAAAGAGAGAGAAACATTAATTTGCTATTCAACTTATTTATGCATTTATTGGTTGACTCTTGTATGTGCCCTGACTGTGGGGATTGAACTCACAACCCTGATGTATGGGGATGACATTCTAACCAACTGAGCTACCCAGCCATTATTTGCCTTTTTAATTGTGTTGACTTGAACTCAACCCTGAGAGTGAGGACTTAAATTTTGTGCCCAGGCACCTGACATACTTCACCCTAGTCCCCATACTGCAAAATTGAGCTGATGGTACAAAATCAATGGTGGGTAAAACTGCTAGTACTTTAGCCCGAGTCAAGGCAGTGACACCAAATCATACTGGTCGTCATTGGATTCGTTACTGGCTAGCCCAGTAAAACAAGTCAATACCAAGTATGAGGATTGTCCTCCTGGCCTAATCTCCTTCCTGCTGATTGGACTGTGGATATGATAGGTGGAGCCAGAGTGGCTGTCTTAGACCACAAGGCAAAACTGCATTTGGAGACGGCAGGCTAACAAAATAGGAGTCTGAGTCTCTGATGATTCTCACTCTCTAGATCAATATATACATGGATAGGCAAACTTCTCTCTATTGTTGTGAGTTTCTATCTCCCACAGCTAAACACAATCTTAACTATACAGCTCTAAAGACTAACTATATAGCTCTGAAAACATTAGATAAGTAATCACCTGACACATTCTGTCTGCTGTTTTCACTTTCTCTGCTGTTGGAAAGAGAAGCTGGCTCTGACATGCTTCTTTCTGTTCCTCCCATCAATGGTCGCAAATGGTTTACCGACACTTGCTCAATAAAAGATGTACCATGTTTATGGAAGTACCACCATTCAAATATCTATGACAAACAGAAAACATCTTTCATTTAATACAGAACTAATGAGCAGATATGAGCTCAAATTAAAACATTATCTCAAGATGTTCCTTTAATTCAGCATTTTAAATGTACTCTCCTTCCAAAAAAATAAGCCAAATATAAGATTACCCAATAACATATGCGAGCAAAAGTGAAATACTTCTTTCATAGCTTTGTCATGAAATTTAGACAAGCTTAGGCAAAATGAAAAGAAATACATCTGTAAATAAACCATTAAAAACAATAAAAAGGTTTAATCTATAGATTATGTTAAATTACATTGTCATTTTATTCTATCTGTAGCATAATTGAAAAAAAATAAGTTTGAAACAACTAGCATGATGGATTAGACTAGGCTTAGAATGCCCCCATTTGACTCCCAATTTTGCTATCTATTTATTAGCTTTGTGCCTTGGGCAAGTGACTTAACTGCTAACCTCTCAGAACATCAATGTCCTATCTACTAAATATGGTTAATAAGAATTATAAGTATCCCTTGAGAAATAAAGTACTATTCCAGTATTTGACAGTATTATCAATGTAGGTTAAGGATCAGGTTGATTCCAATTTTGGACCATTTAAAAAATAGAATATTCACTTCTTTATGTTTCCATGGTTTATCACTATTACAAAAAGAGGAACCAAAAGAAGCTCTTTGTGCTGAATTAGCAGAAAGTTTCACATTTGAACACTCCAACTTTCTCAATTCCCTTTGCCTGACTCTTTTGGGTTACAGCTTAAATGACACATCATTGGGGAACTTTTCCTGATTCACAAACAGAAAGCTGTACTCCCATTGGATCTTGTTATTATCCTTTGATAGTAATCGTTTCACTTGTAATAATTAAACAACTGATTTTGTTGCTATCTTTCAAGCACCCAAAGAACACGACCCCTTTAGGAAGGAGTAACACAATCAGCACAGCTAGCTTCCTCATTTCCTTCCTTATTGAAGAATCGCTATTTCAGTGAGGCCTTCCCCAACTTCCCTGTATAAAATGTCAGCCTTCTCCTCTGACACTTCATATGCCTTTTTCTGCTTCATTTTCTCTTTAGCACTTACCACTAATAGTAAGAACATACTATTTGTTTAACTTATTTATCTTTTATTATATATTGCTCTAATATAATAAGTTCCACAAGGATTTTTTCGCGTTTTGTTCATTGCTACAAGCTCAGAAACACTGTGTGAGTGTAGGTACTAAATTTAAAAAATGTCAAATGAATCAATGTCCATAATCACCTGTAGACCACATTTCGTGAGGACAGAAGCTGTGTTTATCTGCTTACCATGGTATCCCCAACATCTAAAAGAGTGCCTAACAAATATTTATAAATATTTGTCAAATGAATCATCAATCAATCAGGGACTTTATAGATTAAAACTGTTCAAATGACTAGTAACTAGTTTCTGACTGTAAAATAACTTTAATACCTTCCTTCTCTTGCTTGTGGACCACCTTCCCTTACAAAGTCAACTGATAGCATATTCTCTACCCTGTAGCAGACAAATGTGCTGGTATTACTTTACTTAAAGAATTAACAAACATATCCACACTACTTAAGAGACTACAATCTCTTTAAAAACTATTTTGCTATGATCTGTGAGACAGAGAGAGAGGTATCAGTTCTTAAACCTTTAAGAATGTTATTTTTTGCTTCAGTAAACAACAGAACAAACATGTTAAAAAGATGCCAAAAGTATGATGTCATTTTGTACACTGAAGCCCAATTACTCCATGGACCAAATGCTGTAACATTTATAGGACAGTGCTAGAAAATCAAGGGGCAGAATTTTTTCTATCATGCCACTAACGTCTTATGCTCGGTGTAGAATGGCTTTTCCTGCTTTCTTTTACTGAGTTAGCAGGCAGTTAATCACCACCAAATATAGCCCCAGATTGGCTTCTTTTACTGAGAAATGGGATGAAACTTCTTTAAAACAACCAAAAGAAATCACAAAGCAGAAGTTATTCATGTGACAGAAAAGACAAGATTTATATTACATCAGTCAGGGACATTAATCATAAAGGCAACAATGACAAAATGTGTCCTTCACTATATGAAGTGTTGGCAGTTTTTTAATTAGTTAATATGTTAGTTGTTTTTATTTACCTTTTGAATCAACTTTTTAACACAAATGAGCAAAATAATTGCTAATACTTACCAAGCATTGTGCCAAGTTCTTTACATGCATTAATTTTCACAACAACTGATTTCAGAAAGAACATCTATTCCCGCTTTAAATAACTAGCTCTGGTTCACACCATCCATACTTGGTAGAGCTAGGATTCTTACTCAGGTTTACCTGACTTCAGAGGTTCTAACCATTACACAGGCTACCTCCGGAACATACCACAGTGTATGTATATATGTAAGTGTGTGTGTATATACACACAAGTTTGGTAAGTCCAGGTGGTGAAAGAAATTATAAACATAACCTTTGCTAATGAAAACTCATCAATTTTGCAAGAGTGATGACAAAATTTAACCTTTACAATGTTTCCTAATTTTAAAACTTTGGTTTAGCCCTAGCCAGTTTGGCTCAGTGGATAGAACATCAGTCTGCGGACTGAACAGTTCCTGGTTCAATTACAAAAGGCTTTGTACCTCAGTTGCAAGCCCGATCCCCAGCCCTTGTTGGGATATGCAGGAGGCAACCAATCGCTGTGTCTCTCTCACAGTGATGTTTCTCTGTCTCTCCCCCTTCCCTCCACTATCTCTAAAAATCAATGAGTAATATCCTCAGGTGAGGAGTAACAAAACAAAACTTTGGTTTAAAAAGATCGTATGTATCCCTGCTGGGTAGCTCAATTGGTTAGAGCATATGCCAAGTTGCGGTTCAATCCTTAGTCAGGGCACATGCAAGAATCAACCAGTGAATGCATAAATAAGTGGAACAACAAATCGATGTTTCTTTCTCTTTTCCTCTCTCTAAAAATCAATCAATAAATAAAATTTAAAAGATAATATATAACATATATATAAATTTCCCCTTATAAATCAGGAGATTAAGACTCAGAATCTAGCCCTAACCGGTTTGGCTCAGTGGAAAGAGCATTGACCTGTAGACTGAAAGGTTCCAGGTTCAATTCCAGTCAAGGGCATGTACCTTGGTTGCGGGCACAATCACAGTAGGAGGTGTGCAGGAGACAGCTGATCGATGTTTCTCTCTCATCAATATTTCTAACTCTCTATCCCCCCCCCACTTCCTCTCTGTAAAAAATCAGTAAGATTATTTTTTTTAAAAAGGCTCAGAATTTATGTGATTTGCCCAGTTATAAGCCAGTAAGTGGCAGAGTCAAGACTTAAAACCACATCTTCTAGTTCTAAAACCAAAGCTTTTTCTATTACATCAGCTGTTTAAAGATCATTTATTTTCTTTATTTTGACTCATACTGTATTGACTAAATGTGCTTAATTATGAATGGACTTTATAAATCAATACATTTTAAGGCTTACTGGCATATTAACCCATAGTTTTCATCCTGAATTCCTCAACAACTTTTTTTAAGTCAAGAGAAAAATCCCTTTCTTGTCTGGCATTTCACTTTAACAAAATGGTCAAGTGTTAGTCCTTATAAAAAAAAGACAAAACCAAAACACTCCAATACAAATGCTGTTATTTCTACTATAGCTGGAGAGCACCACCTAGAGATGAGAAAAAAGTACAGAAAAACTCCTTGGCCATGCACACCATAATACTTCCTAAGATTTGTATGTGTAGCAATGCTTTTCCAAAGTTTCTTCCATTACTAGGGATGGTAACAAAAAGTATAAACTTAAAAAAAAATTTGAATTAAAAATGCAAGCTGGATGAAATAAGACAAGAAAAAGCTGAATTAAAGTTAAATTGACTTCTTTATTGTAGGACTTCTCAGAATAACAACAGCCCAAATTCATTAAATGTTCAATCTGTATGAGCTACCAGTTTGTTACTAACTTTTACACACCTTACCTCATTTAGTCATCATAATCCTATGAAGTAGATACTGTTATTAACCCCCCCCCACATTTACACTCAGAAAACCGGGGGATAGAAAAGTTAATTAACGTGCCCTAAGTCACACCACCAAAGTGAAGGTTAACCTGACTCAAATCCTGCTCTTAAACACTCCAGAGAAGATAACTGGCAGCCTATAGGCTGAATTCAAGACACAGATAAATTTTTAGTTTGTCCAATGCTGCCAACATTAACATATTGTGAGATTTTATATGAAAACTTGTGTATCCAGATTCTCTTGGGATCATTTGGAAAATCTGGTAATAATGGTCCACAAGTCTACATGGCAACAATCAGCTTTAGCCCTTCTTAGAAGTAGCATGCATTGTCCAGTCTACCCAGCCCTCAAAGTAAGAATTCAGTTTTGACACTGTGCCCATTTCACTCATTTTTATTACCAAGATGGGCCCTGTAAGCATTTAAATGCAATTCACCTCTCAAGTCCCTACATAATGTAAGTCTTTTATACACAACTGCATACTGTCAATCTCTAAAAGTGGAGAGGAGATGCAGTGGCTTTTTCAAGATACTGAACACATTTTGAGGATGCTGATCTGCACGTATTTATAATTATTGTAACTGTATAAAGAGTTGTGATCTTTAGATAAATACAAAAGTATGAAGGAAATGGAAACTACTTACAAATATTAGTCCTGATATCAAAGAACATGTCCCTGTAAGTGCCACATAGAATTTGGACGTCAGTGAATTTAAAAATACTGTCACTGCCAAAAGGAAAAAAAAAAATCAAAGTTTAAAAAAAAATGCAAATTCAAAGTACTCAAGTTACAAATATGCAGGTGTCTTTATAAGTGGGGGAACAAAAGTGGATTAATATCTAGTATGACATTCATTTGAGAAAGTTGTAATTTTTTAAAAGCTACTTTAACGTCCCATTGTATGCTACTCTCAAAAAAAAAAACACTTGCTTTTCGGTGGCCAGGAGCTCGGCTGGTGGCCAGGTAGCTGGGCCTGGTGGAGTAGCTGGGCCGGTGGAGTAGCTGGGCTGGGAAAACAGCCCAACGAGAGTAGCAACAAGCCGAGAGCTCCCTCCCTGCACCTGACTCGCTCAAAGTCTCAGCCAGGCTCTTCAAATAAACTGTCTCATAAATACTTTGGATTTTAGACCTAAAAATTGCAAAATACTTAACTAGTCTCATCTAAATGGTGCACCTGGTTAGCACGTAGGAAAATAAATGACACACTTTCCCTGAGTGGAATAACCACCAGTAGGCACTTCATTAACCGGTTACAGAGACCACCGCATTGGCTCCACCAAAGCGGGTAGGAAGGCCCAGTTATTTAGCTTGTTTTTGTGTTCGCTGTATCTGAATGTACATAATAACTATGTTCTAAAAAAAAAAAAAAAACAAAACAAAACTATTTCGGAGCATTATCCCAGCATTCCGTGCCATCTCATGGGACAGAAAGGGGGGCATTTAAGCTGCAGTCGCGACCTAACAGAGCTGCTCCCATCCGTGCCGAGGCCGAGGCCGGGGCTGCAGGAACCTCCGCCCGGGCCACGTGGCGAGCCGTCCGCCGACGTGGCGAGGGCCCACCGCCGTGTGTGGCTCTCTCTCCCTTCACTACCTGCGTTTCTCTAGTTTGTTACCGAAGGTAAAGCCCTAACAACGAACAGACCCAAAAAAATCTCACGAAAACTGTGTGCTGACAGAACTACTTAAAACACGAGGGCGGTTGGCCAGGATCCGGGGCCCTCACACACTCGAGCAGAGGAGCGCTCGTCTTCGTGGGCTCGGCCGGGCACGGCCCGGGGAGCGGCGGGCGGGCGGCTCGCGGGCCCGATTTTCCCGGGACCCTACCAATGGCGGGGGTTGTGTGTCTAAGTCCTGCATCCCGGTCTGCGAGTGCCCCGTCGGTCCCGTCAGGTGGCGGCTCCGCCCCGGGGAGACGCGGCAGCAGGGAGGCGGACCTCGGGTCGGGGAGGAGCCGGTGGCCGCTGCCCGGCGTTGACAGGCGGCGGCGGAGCGGCGGCCCCAGAGAAAAGAAACCCACGGAGTCGCCGCGCGCCGCCGCCTCCTTCCCCGGAGCCCTCCAGGGACCACTGAACCTCTGCCCTTTGGCCTTTGACCCCCCAACACCGCCGGCACACACACCCCCGCCCCAACCCAACCCCCGGGGAAGTCTGGGCCTCTCACCCGCGGCCACATTCTCACACAGCCTCAGCGGGACCCTCAGAGCGTAAAGCAGCCCCAGCCCCACCACGAACCACAGCGAGGCCCACGTCCCCATCAGCCCGGCCCGCAGCCGCTCCCTCCAGCCCGGCGGCGGGCTCGGGCCGGGAGCGGGTGCCTGAGGAGAGGCCGCGGCCGCGGCGGCAACACCCGGCCCGTCGCCGTCCGCCATCTTGGCGCTCCCCGGGCGCCGGCGCTGGGAGGGAAGCCGGGCAGGAAGCCGGGCGCCGGGAATCCTGGGATAGTGGCGGGCCTGAGGCTGGCCGCTGGGAAGGCCGAGCGCCTCGGGGGTCCGGGACCGAGGTTTGGGAGGTGAAGGAGCGTCCCTGGGCGGGGGCTACCTGCTCCTTCCGAGGGCGGCCCGGGACGGATAGCCGCACCTCCTCCGGAGAAACTGGGCTGGGATGTGACCCCGGAGTGAAGTGATTTCGCTTCCATGAGCGTGAGGGTCACCCTTCGCCCCCATTTCCTGGGCTTTGAAAAGCCACCGGCCCAACAAGGACCGAGCAGCACTTAGCCCCGTAGACGGGGAAAACCTAGAGGAGTAGCAAGTGCTGTTTGGTCGGATGGGGCTCGGGCGCCAAGAGCAGTCGAGACCCGCTCCCCGCGTCCCGCAGATGAGAGGGGAAGTGAATGTAACTCAGTGAGGACGGCATTAGACTTAAAGTCACTTCAGGCAAAGGCGACTGACTTCCCGGAGCGGGCGCTCCGAGCCGCGCCCGCCCCGCCCCGGCGCCCGTCACTGCCTGGGTGCCCTCCCGACCGGCGTTTCCGGGCGGGCCCTTCCGCCGGCCCCCGCGGCGATGCCGTCACTCAGCTTCCTTCCCGGCCTGCCTCGCGCCCGGCCGGGCTGGGCCAGAGCAGCCCAAGATGGCCGACTTCGAGGATCGGGTGTCGGATGAGGAGAAGGTAAGGGGCGCGCCTCTCTCTCTCACCTCCTCCCGCGCCAGGGGTGGGGGGCCCGGCCCGGTCGCCGTGGGAAGCCCGGAAGGGCCCCCCGGGGGAAAGAAGCCGCTCAGCCCTGCAGGCGTCCGCCTCCCGCGCTCGGGACGCTTTCCTCCCGAGGGTCTTCCCCCTGGCGCCCCGTGGCCCCAGTTCCCCATTTCTCAACTCTCTTCCTCCCGGGCCTGCGGCACAGCCCGCTGGCCTTGCTGCCAGAAAAGAGACTTTTCCCTTATGGAGTCGTGGCTGCGGACTCTCCTCTGTAATGGAGAGAGGGGACGATGGTGATGTCGCGACCTGTGAAGCAGCACTTGTACCGCCTTGAGCTGTTGGGGCTCAGCCCGTCCCCCCCTCCCCCCCGTTAGCCAGGATTGAGGCTAGTTTAGGGCGAGTCACTTCCTGGTCTGGTGGCCCCTTCACTTCCCTTCCGCCCTTCCTTCCCCTGGAAGTGATTCTGCTGTCACGACTCCTGGACAGAGCGGTCCCTCCGTGGTGCCCGCCTCTCCCCGGTCCCAGGAGCTGGGCTGTTCGCAGTGACCCCCGTGGGAGCCTCCGGACACTGGGCGCCGGGTGTGAGCGCCGTCTTCCCTGCAGACACGCACTGGGCCGCCTGGGTCTCCCCGCGCCCCGCCGGGACTCCATCCCTTGCGTCTTAGAGCCTCTTGATAATAGTTGAAAAACGGTTTTCAGTTTCTTGTTAACCGATTAAGATTCGCCAACGGGTTTTTGTGTGGGTTGCTGTGGTTTTTTTTAAACTCCAGAAAGGTTTTGTAGAGCACGCAAACGTCAGGGTGACGCGTTCAAGCCTGGGCCAAAGCATCGTGCCTCCTCTGATGCTCCCCTGCGATGTCTGATTACAGTGGAGTTTGTCAGTGTGTAATTTGTGTGCTGCTTCCTTCAAAAGTGTCTTAAATACAAGAGCATATTCTTTGCCAGGTGGAATTACTTTTTTTTTTTCTTTTTTCTGACAGCTGCACATCTTTCTTAACAGCTTGTCAGGGTTTTCGGTAACTATGAGATTTTAGGGCCTGCGGAAATTAGAATTATTTCATTAGGTGACCAACTTTATATCTTTTTAACAACTTATTGTGCGTGTGTGTGTGTGTGTGGAGGAGGAAAGGAGAGGGAGAGAGAGAGAAACATCAATGATGAGAGACAATCATTGATCGGCTGCCTCCCGCACGCCCCTTCAGCTGCAGGCTCTATCCACTGAGCCAAACCCGCTAGGGCAGTTGACTCACTTTAGGACAAGAATTACGTCTTTTGTTTCCTATAGTGGCGTGCAAAATGTGCACGCTTGAGTGCTTTGTAAATGTATTTCAGCTCTTCCTCTCTCTCTCTTTTTTTTTTTTCAATAAAAAGATTGGGATGGTGGAGGGGACTATCTATGCTCCAGGAGTCCTCTGTACAGAATGATTTGATACAGTATACCTACATATGGCATGCCATTTTGAAATACTGAGGAATGTGCTAAACACTCACAAGCCATTGAACAGCACTTTAGCGTTAATTTTTCTCGTTCTTGGAAATTCCCATAAACATATAAGTTTGGGGAGGGAGGAAGCATTTTATATGAACTTGTGCTGGAGAGAATACTATAATAAATCCTTTTTCTAAGGCAAACAGTTATGATTCAGATGAAGTTAAATTACAGTGAAAATCATAGGATAACAAAATATTTTTTAGTACAACTGATGAGTCACTTATTTTAAGCAAAAATACTGTTACAACAAAATATTACTAAGTATGTAAATAACAATAAACAGTAAACTTTGAATGAAGTTTATTGTGCCCAAGTAATACTACATTTACCAGTGCTGTCAGGTTTTTGTCTTTGACACTGAGTTAGAATGCCTTTTTTTTTTTTTTTTTAATATATTTTATTGATTTTTTACAGAGAGGAAGGGAGATAGTTAGAAACATCGATGAGAGAGAAACATCGATTAGCCGCCTCCTGCACATCTCCTACTGGGGATGTGCCCACAACCCAGGTACATGCCCTTGACCGGAATTGAACCCGGGACCCCTCAGTCCGCAGGCCAACGCTCTACTGAGCCAAACCGGTTTCGGCTAGAATGCCTTTTTAATTAAATTTGGAAAATATATGTGTATTTCAAAATGCAAATAAAAATATCTTTGAATATTGTCAGTGTTTAATAACATTCATAGTATTGATTTTATAATAATACATCTGACCTCAATAATAGATGAGGTTCCTTTCATCTCCCAGCATACCTGATGTGTTGCTTAATTTTAATAATGACATAGTAAGGAAATCAAAATTAATAAGGTAAATCTGCCAAAAAAGTTGATCAATTTCACGTTCAGTAAACAGTTTTTAAATTAACCACATTGTCTTCATTAGTGTGGATAATAAAGAATAACTGCTATAGTAAGTGTCTCAATAAATCCATATGATTTGAGATTTCTGATATTTTATTAGATTCTTATTCACAGACACAGATGAAATTGATAGTATTTCTCTGTTGTGGATCTATAAGTAAAAAGGAAGGGCTTTGGCTTGTAAGATTTCTTCACTTCTCTTCAGCTCATACCCTACTTGCCCCCTTTTCCAGGCTTCTGCATCCTTTTAACTGAATTCAAGAATCGAGAAAGTATTTTTCTAACAAGACTTGTTGATATGAATATCTTAGCATTCAGAAACATAAGTAACTCTTAAATGAGATTCTTAGCCTATAAAATTTTCACAACCACAGCACTATTACAAACAAATATTTAAAAAGATTTTTAGCCTTAATTTGGATGGGTTCTTCCTTGAAGGAACTCTAAAGTTTCCATTTTTTCTGTTTTTAACGGAGACCTCAACTGCATTTTGATTTGGGGTTGTTTTTTTGTTTTTTAAGGGATATATGTCATGATGCCAGTACAGTTTTTTATTTTTGTTACATTTTCTGAAAGCAGTGAACATAGAGATGAATTTCATGATGATGGTCTCTGATTTCCTTGCAAGTATTTCTATAAAAGCTAGTAAGATCAACCATTTTCATAACTAGCTGCTGAAGTTTTTACCACTTTATAAAGAGGAAGTTGGGTTTTTAACTTCTGCATTGTTACCTGAAATGGTCATGATGAGCTGCCTAAATAAAACAGGAAGTAGAAAGTGTAATAACTTGTAGAAATAAGCGCTTTCAGTCTTATCCTCCGTTTCAGTTTCAGAGAATGAGCTCTACGCTTCTAGCTACTAAGACCCTTCCGTTACTTGGTTCCAAGAGCTTAACAAGACCAAAATGACAAGATACAGTAGTTAGGAAACTTGAAATACGAGATGAGCAACTTGTTTGGGCTCTTTGCATGTCTGTTTCCTTTATTTCATGATTCAGCATTTTTCTTATCCTCAAGATTTTATTGTCACATAATAAAATAAAATATGAAGTTTAGAACTGGATCAGTGGGCTCTTTTTCTTATCTCCTCTCAGTTCAGAATGCTTGCATCTCTTAATAGCCAGCATTCTCTTAGATGCAGTTGGGCTCAACATATTCAGGCCTCACACAATCTCCTTTGTAGTTTTAGCCTTTTTGCGGGAAACCGGCCTAGTCTGCTCACCATAGCCACTCTGCTTCCTGTCACAACGCCGCTGTCCCTGCACATTCAGGGGATCATTGCCCTTCTCATGCTGTGTTACTTTCTGGTGTTGGTGCTTGCCACACTTCTTACAGAAAGTCCTGAAGGTTTTAAGAACATTCACCGTGTTTGCGAGAGCACTAAGGGCACAGAAAGCTGATTCAGCATCTTAAAAAAAATGCAGAGAGAATTTTAAGGCTGAAAAACAGTGCGACTGGCATATTTTTTCCCTTCAGCCTAACTAGTGGAATATTTGTGTACAACCGCAAAAATACCATAACTGAAAAGTGGATCTGTATGCTCTAAGTTTAGACAATGATCCCATCTTTAAGGCACTTTTTGAGGAACAGGTTTATCAAAATTATTTAGGAGAGATGTGGAAAATGTTGTATATGAATGACAAAAGGCCCTATTAGATAGAGCTCATAAAACTACTTACACTTTTAAACTGGATTTCCTTGATTTTGATTACCTCGTTGATTGACCAGATGAGTTATTACCCTTATCAAGTAAACCCTGAAACTTATTTGCAGTGGTCTTTTCTAACAAGTCCTCAATTGGTATTAACACTATTCTTTTCTCTTCCCTTTTTCCAGTTAGCTTTGCTAATGAGTATTCATATAATCTGTTATAAAATCCTTGGACAGGAGCATAAATTTTCAGCAAGT